ACACACAAGATGTCACAAGATGTCACAAATGCGATGTCATTGCAATGTCATTGCAATGTCAAGGAACCATACGATACTTGACTCCTTCTGATCTTTTTGATCTTTTTGTCAAAGAAAGCCGGTGAAATCTGATCGCCTGGCACGGAGCTGCAGACTGCAAACTCGGCAACTCAGCACAGCACGACATGGACGACATGGAACGAACAGAACACGAAGCACACGACCTGCCTGGACTTTGGCAAAGGCTTTGGCAAACCTGGTCGAACATGTCGAACCAGCGTCGAACATGTCGAACATGTCGAACATGTCGAACCAGTGTCGAACCAGCGTCGAACCAGCGTCGAACCAGCCAGTTCGAATGGTTCAAAGAACGCTTCAAAATCCACAGGCCGGGCACCTGCACACCTGCACTCCTGTTCCCTTTTTCATCTTTTTCAATTCAAGCATGTTTTCATTGAAATAGTCATGTATAGTCATGCGTTTCGGTTCCCAACCAAGAGCAAGTTTCACAATCATCTGTCGTTTCGAACGATGGCATGTCCGTCAACAAGACAATTCTCGATCAACCGGCTCAAGAAACCTACATACTTCCAATAAACGCCCAAAATCCAATCATCTACAGACATGCACTTTATAGCACTCGGATATCACTGTCACATATTGATTGCCATGTGTGTTTTTATGTCTATATGATTATATATGATCATCCATGCAAAATCATCCAAATCTTTTTACATGTAGCTATAAAAGTCACAACCGAAACTCACCGGGCCACACCTGGCGTCAGTATCAGGGGTATGCAGCTGAGCCGATGGTCCTGACAAACATTTTTTCAATCAAAACCCGCAAATTGCGGATGTTTCCAGCTTTTCACCCAGTTTTTTTCAATGCAAATTGGATTGATGTTCTAATTGTCTGCTGTTTCACTTGCTGTGTGTCAACATGTCTCAACTCTCAAGGCACACGGATGACGAGTCGTACACAGCGGTTTTCCCACGACACTGTCCATCGGGTGAATGTTGGGCATTGGGTCGTAGGGCAGTAGATCATCAACAGCACAGGAAAGCAGATTTCCTGCCAAATATTCCGCGCAGGTTCAGGTGTCAAACGTGATCAACTAATATCAATTAAAATGAGATCTCATGAGATCGACGCAAGTCAGGCGAATTTCATCGAATTTCACTTCAACTGGTTGGTTCTGGCCTATTTCACCAATTTCACCAATATTTGATGTGGTCATGAACACGTCACTGTCGCATGTCATGAAGATGTTGGTAGGTCGGCAATGCCGCAATGCCGCTCACTGCGCCGTGCAAGGCGTGTCTTGTGCCACTGTCCCTGCCGTCACTGCCTGCTTGGGATCCCGATGCTTCGCTGTAGGCGCTCTGTGCAGCCTGTCGCGCTCACATGCCAACGAAGTTCAACGAAGTTCAACGAAGTTCAACGAAGTTCAACGAAGTTCAACGAAGATGACAAAATGATCATCATATCAAATATATTTTTATATATTATATGGAATGTGTATAATATATTATCATCACCATATGATCACCCACTGCCACCCTTAGCAGTTACAGTTTGCTGTCTGATCTGTACATATCTCTAGTGTAGGATGGCAGTGGGTGATCCGACAGAATGTCAATGCGATCTACATTACAGATTGTTACAGTTTGCTGGAGTTTGGCAATGGATGGCATTGGCACTGGTCCAAATAATTCCAAGCGAATCTATACCTTGGTCCTCTTTGACGAATCTATGAAGACCATAGATCAGATCAACGAATATCAACGGTAACAAATGGACAGCATCGATTTTTGGTGCAACGATGTGCAACGAGAGTTGATCAATACTTTCATCTGGGCACACCAAGCCTGCTCCATATCAAAGCGTGCTTGGTGGATGTCCTAAGCCAACAACTTGAATCACTTCAAATAACTTCAATGACTTTGTCTCTTTATTTATCTTTATCTATCTTTATTTATCTATTTTTCATTCTTTAGAGACAAAGTCATTTAGTTTATTTTAGTTCGATGTTCTTTAATTTTCTTTAGTTCTCTTGAGCTCTTTGTCTCGTTGCTTTCTTGAGTCCGGATCTCTCAGGTTTGACGTGGTGAACTCATAACTTTTCAGTCTTCGTCTTGTCCAAGCTCCGGCTGTCTGTGTCATTCTGCATCATTCTGCATCCATCGTAGTCTGTCAGAAGTCTGTCAAACTAAGATCACTTCATCCTGCAAATCCGTGTAAACTCGGTAAACCTGTGCAACGAAGCTCAGATCTGAAACATCTCTGAGAATTGTGACATCTGCAACTACTGAAGCTACTGCCGTAATGCTGAGGCTTCAATTCTGTATGTTCTGGTGCGAATCTCATAAAATCTGACTGCAATGAAGAAACTGGTCTGACTCCAACATAACGAGGTCCATTATTTCTCTGAGTTTTGCTGAATCCAATCAATTTTGCGTTATCCATGGCACAGTCCGCATATCGTGCTTGAGTCTCTTGCATAATAGGTGAACCAGCCCTTCACCTGCGCTTTGCACAGGCCATCAATCCGTGTCGATTTCTGATCCAAGGTTGGGAAAGTGGCGGAAAAAAACGGCATGCCATGATAATCATGATATTCTTTCTAGCGTGGTGTATACGCTGCTCATTAAAAGGACAAAACCATGCAAACGACTGAATAGTTCATCAATCATCAATCAAAATGTGCATTGAAGATCATTGAAGTGTACTTTCAGGTTGACACCCTTTAACTTTATATATATATATATAACTTTATTAAACATCTTCAAACCTGGGAGTTTGCAATGATAATTTTACATTTTGATATTGACCGTGAAGCCAACGCATCACATTGGACCCGGCCTGGCTGATGCGGTCCACGGCTCGCTTGGCCAGCCGCGCCGCTTTCTGCCGAATTGTTCACAGCGTCCACAGCTTTCGCAGCTTTCACATTGACAGCTTCACTGATTGACTCAGATTGAAATATAAAAATCCTGAAGAATGTATAAAGAATGTATAAACTTTGAGAGTTTCACAAACGATGTCGCACAGTTTATAAGTTTGAAAGATGTCATACTCCAAAGAGCATGATTGAGCATGATGTTCTGAAATGGGCCCCCAAAAAAATTGGGACTGCAACGGAGGACACACTACTTGGGAATGCGAATAAAACTGTGACAAAAACAGATTGAAGGATTGGGATGAGGGTTCGAATCAGCCCCAAATATGGTCTGATGCAGCATCATACTACTCGTAAGCTCTAGAAACAAAAACCATCTTTTCGGGGTTCAACACGCTGGTTCTATTACGATTATATGTGACCCGACATCAAGTGCTGTCTGACAAGGAAAAAGTTACGTACTTACTTGTCTCGAACATATAAAATCTTCTTTGAACTGGTATTGTTTGATTCTCGGATCTCAGAATTCAGAAAACATAAAAGAAGAGCAAAGGATCATGGAGAAATGACAAGAAAAATCCGGAAGTGCATGCGCAATGCGACAAGATACGACAAGATACGACAAGATACAAATCTTCCTGCCTCCGCACCCATGTCCTGTGCTAAAACGATGGCATCATTGGCCTTTTCAGTAGCCTGGCAAGATCATGCAAGATCCACAACTTCAGTAGCCATGCTAAATGTTTGGCGATGTTTGGTGATGTTTGGTGACACTGGGAAGGTTGCTGCTGCATTGTCCGCGGCCAATTATATCTTGAGGGTTTTACTCTCTAAGATCGCTAAAGTCGTTGTGTATCAATTTGCGATTGTCACAGTGATCACTGTTGACACTGACCAAAAAGTTCACCAACATTTCTGAAATTGATTATCTGATTTTTTACAAGTTTCCGTCTTCAACAACAATTAAAGTAATAAAGATTCTCGTTTGTTGTTTGTTGGGCTGAAGTAGGTCGTGTGCTTCGTCAGTCTATGTTGATTTGCTACTTCCCGAACAACGTGACAATGTGGTACAATGTGACAATGTCGAGTTTTCGTTTTGAACAGAAGGTTTGTTTTCGTTTGTGGATCCGTTCCTTGCCATTCCAATTCTAGCCAATGTGCCACACCATAAAACCCTCAACAAAGCTTTATTAGCAATGCCTGCCTTAGAATCTTTGGTTTCTCTCATACTCTATGTTTGTTCGTTTTTTTTGTTCTATTGTTTTTTTTCTCATCTCTGCTGTGTTTTTTCAAGGCCTTCACAAGCGCTTGAAGTTCATAGGTTGGAGCGGGTGGGCACCTGCCATTCCAAATGATTCCAAGTGGAATCTGCCGACGATAGCAAAAATCCACCAACATACCAATGATAAAACCCCAACGATGCAAGCATAAAAACACAAAAACTGCACTCAAGTGGATCAGAAATTGAGCAATGCTGGAGTTTGGCACAATTTGTTGAACCAACTGTTGAATAGCGATGCCAGCTTGGCTCCAAGGCATACGGTGTGAACGAGGTCAAAACCTGGACAAGTAAAACTGCCAATCGACCCTGTGTTTAAAATACGCAAGATTGAGCTGAGCAAGACACGAATGCACCTGGCACGGTTGACACTTTCATTGCATGGTTTGAATTGCAGTCAGTGTTGTGCTCAAATGAATCACTCTGCTTTTCAAACAAGGAAAAAAGGATTCGCAGGTACTGTTTGCAGCAAACATGAAGCAATGACCTCGCGTCATGAAGTATCTGAAAACATCGTCACAGCCCAACTACGCAATGTGGCGGTAGTCACTGCAAAGGGTTGGAAATTGTCTTTGAATTAATGTTAATTTCAACAGCTCGGTATTTTGGACTGTTGTGACATCTGAGCCAGAAATGGCCACTCATTCGATGGTAGCATGAGGCCGATGGATTTTTGTTCCGTCCTGCCCCCCTGCCACAGCACGACAAGAAACACGAAAACACTGCAAGGGTTTGTCAAAAGTCCAGCAAAACTGCAGAACATTTGGCCAAGTTGGCATGCATACACATGGCCAGAAGCACACTGCTGAAATGTCCTTTTTTTGCTGATCTTCCGATGTTAAGCATCAATCTCTTGCCGACGGGAAGCAGCAGGAGGAATACGTATTCTCAGTTTGGTCGCCTCGCATACTCTGCGGCGATGTGAATCCAAGGTGTTGGCAACATGATGACGCTGTTGGTCAAACTGAGGAATTGGACATAATGTCATATAATGTCCAATACTTGGACATTTTGGGAAATTAGGATTTGTAGAGATGTCCCGGCCATTGCACGATTCATCTATTTATATCTATTTATTGCAATTCGTTCAGACCAAATATTTGGTCCGTACAACTATCATCTAGATGGCTGTGTTTGGTGTTGTTTTGGTACCTTTGGCTACCATGGCTTTTTGATAGGAACCATCTTGAAAAGACCCAGCGTAACAGCGGCGGTATCTGGGGACCGCCCCTTGAAACCCTGACATCACCAGTCAATGTGTAGAGATGTTGGCATCTTGGGTCTACGAGAACAAATGAGAAATAAACGAGAACAAAGGGACATCCCATGGAAACCCTGCCTTTCCCACCTTGCCCCCGCTGCTCTCTTTCTCCTATAATTCACTGTGTTTCAGAGTGAGGAAAAAAACCTGATGCCGTTTTGCTGTTTTGCCACTGAGTCTTGCAACTGTAGCCTGCATGAGCCAAACCATGTACTTCTATGTCTGCTTCGGTTCTTGCATGTCTGCAACGTTCTCATATGATTTCATATCATACAGTATGCATCTCATATTTCTCTCGGTTTCTCTCGTTCTCCATCTGTCTTTCTTCAGCTTCGGCGCGCCGCTTCTCCTGTCAGTTGTTTGGGGAAATCTGATCGGATAATGTGATAATCGTGATATGATATATCAATATATATATACACATCACAAATTGTCACAACATGTCTCATCCGAAAGCCCTCTTTCCCACAACATGCTCGACAATGCTCGACTCATCTTGCAGCATCTTGCAGCGCTTCATCCTGTCCTCCTCAGCTTTCCTTTTCTTTTCGTCCCTGAGGGTCTTGTAATGAGCTTTCCAACGTTCCTGAGTTTGCAATTTCTCCAAAGGTCCAAAAAATGAATGATGTTTTGACAACAGTTCCCACATCCGCAAGGACTTGGATTGAGGCCTTCTTTTCTTTGAGCTCTTCTGGCGTCTTCAGTGTCTCACAAATTCGCCTGCTCTGCCATGCCTCCTGGCAACAAGAGTTACACAGTAAAAAACCAAACAAATCATCCTACTGAACTGATGAACTGTGTCTGTTCGAGCGCATCTTGGATTCATAGAATGTTGCGTCAGTGTATGCGGTGAGTGTATCGTCATATTCTAATGGGAAATCTTCCAGACGTAGCGTTGCATCCTGCATGATCTGCTTCACTTCTCCAGCATCTTTGGCTGTCACGGCCGTACCTTAGACGCTCCCATGTTGGAATGTCTTGCCCTTACCAGTGCCTCGATCAAATTGACACTTCCAAAACTGACAGGCCCGTGTGTCCTTATGAAATTCCGCTGAGTTCAGGTCTTGACATGAGATCCTTTTTCCCCACCTGTCAGGCGAGGGTTGGTAGATTTTGTGTCAGCCTGCCCGCCTCCTCCTCTCCACTGCAAGCTGATCGCAGTGTTCCCCGCCAGACCTCAACCGTGAGCTCCGGATCAGAGTGTTCCCTGCCGGACCTGAACCACAAAGAATCTCCGAAGACATACCAAATAGAATGCCAGAAATAATTTCAGAAGGTATGCCAGATACATATGCCAGAAAGAATGTCAGATAGGATGTCAGAGTATATGCCAGACTGAATGTCAGATAGAATGGCAGAACAGAATGTCAGAATAGATGCCAGGCAGAATCCCAGAATAGACTGTCTGCAGAAGAGATGCCGGAAAGAATGTCAGATAGAATGCCAGAAAAGAATGTCAAAATAATCAAATAGAAAGTCAGAAAGAATGCTAGAATAGAATGTCAGAAAATATATGCCATATATACTTCCAGATGTCAGAAACTATGATAAAATAAGGGTGTGAAATAATTTTAGGATTTTTTTTTTGAGCAGGTTTGGGATTTTTTTTTGGATTTCTTGGCTGGTACCATTTGCCTAGTGTTTGCAACGGTTTGGAACTTGAATTTGTCATTTTGCATGGTATTTGCCACATTTGGGCATGTTCACCTTCCATTTTGCATGGGATCTACTACATGTGGGCATGTTCACCTTCCATTTTGTATGGTATTTGCCACATTTTGGCGTGTTCACCTTCCATTTTGTATGGTATTTGCCACATTTTGGCGTGTTCACCTTCCATTTTGCATGGTATTTGCCACATTTTGGCATGTTCACCTTCCATTTTGCATGGGATGTTCTACATGTGAGCATGTTCACCCAAATATTTACAGATGCGGAAGCTTGGGATTAGATAAAAAGCGGGTGGGGGGGATTGAGGGAGGGCGCTAGCTATCTATCCAGCTAGCTAGCTATCTAGCTATCTAGCTAGCTATCTATCTAGCAAGCTAGCTATCTATCTAGCAAGCTATCTATCTATCTAGCAAGCTATCTATCTATCTAGCTATCTATCTACCTATCTAGCTAGCTATCTTGCTAGCTATCTATCTACCTATCTAGCTATCTAGCTAACTATCTATCTAGCTATCTAGCTATCTAGCTTTCTATCTATCTAGCTATCTATCTATCTAGCCATCCAGCTGTCTATCCAGCTATCTAGCTATCGACCTATCTATCTAGCTATCTATCTATCTAGCTAACTATCTACCTATCTATCTATCTATCTATCTAGCCATTATCTATCTAGCTATCTATCTATCTATCTATCTATCTAGCTATCTATCTCTCTAGCTATCTATCTATCTAGCTGGCTATCTATCTATCTATCTAGCTATCTATCTACCAAGCTATCTATCTATCTATCCAGCTATCTATCTATCTATCTATCTATCTTTCTATCACATGTAATCCTGTCAGCTTTCCAGAGAAGGTTAGTTCGCAAAAACCAACTAATGTAACTTGGGTTTAAGTTTAAATAAAAAAAGCGGGAGGGGGGGATTGGGGGGAGAGCGCAGCGCCTCCCCCCAAAGCAGAATGCAAGCACCTCTTCTCACATGTTACGTTGCTAGTTTTCAAGAGAAGGTTGGTCATGTGATACTCAGGGATGTAAATACTTAAATACTGTGCAAAATGCATCTTACATGAAAATCAAGTATTTAAAGCAGGCAAAGCAAAAAAAAAGCAGAGAAGCAAAAAAGCAGAGAAGCAAAGAAACAGGAAACGCACAAAAGCAAAACAGCAGAAAGGCAAAGAAGCAGGAAAAGCAGAAAAGCAGAGAAGCAGGAAAAGCAGGAAAAGCAGGAAAAGCAAAGAAACAGGAAAAACAGAAAAGCAGAGAAGCAGAGAAGCAGGAGAAGCAGAAAAGCAAAAAAGCAGAAAAGCAGAGAAGCAGAGAAGCAGGAGAAGCAGAAAAGCAAAAAAGCAGAAAAGCAGAGAAGCAGAGAAGCAGGAGAAGCAGAAAAGCAAAAAAGCAGAAAAGCAGAGAAGCAGGAAAAGCAGGAAAAGCAGGAAAAGCAGGAAAGCAGAGAAGCAGGAAAAGCAGGAATCCAAAAATAATTCCTAAACCTGATCAAAAAAAAAACCAAAATAATTAGCCCTCCATAAAATAATGTCACGGTGGGGATCACTCGAAGTAAAGTAATATGCAATACGCTCGATTACCCCAAGCGTCTTCTCAAACCATGACTGTAACTTTGGCACAACAAATTTCACTGAGAAGCGAATCCAGCGATGCAAATGCTTCTTGCTCCGTCTGCTCATGGCCAGCGTCCCCTTTGCTGTGAAATGCAGATGTTGGCCTTCCAAGCCCAGGGTTTTCCTTACACGCATCCCAAAGGCTTTTGTGAATCATGCAGAATTCAGGTTTTAATTGTCCAATGGTCTCCAACTCAAGCAGAATGTGATTGCAGCTTATTGTGGCTTATTATTGCAGCAAAGAAACTTGATTTGAGTCGCAAAGTAATTTCTCTCCTGACGCAAGAAGTTCAGGATATTCCAGAATCCCCGGGTGACTTGCACCACACTTCGTCAGTGGATGTCAGTGGCACTGACGGTACAGATTTCCCCGTCCGTCTCCACCCGTCTTCCCTTTTCGTCCTTTTCTTTCTCACTTCATCTCACTTCATCACAGTTCATGACAATTCATGACAGTTCATGACAGTCATCAAAGCTCCTCGTTGGGTTTCTTGAGCTGATCGTCCTTCGTGAGGACCAGCAACAGAGGCAACTCCTCGGAAACCAACGAGAGATCCGAGAGACAAGGAAAGAGATCAAGAGATCAAGAGATCAAAGCAGCTTATTGCAATTTCTAGCAATTTTTTAGCAGTTCTGCGAGCTAAATCCTCTCAGAAATCGAATTGCAGAGTGCAGGTTGCTGAGATCTTCAGCTGACTTCACATACGAGACATGGCACTGAGACAATGTTCAGAGACTTTCAGAGACTTCACGAAGCTGCGAAGCCACACTTCACACACGCACTCATGTGAAGCAGTGAGAGGAATGTGGGTCTCAAATGTTCCATCAATTTTCCTGCTAATGTGCCAGCCCAACGTTTCATTGGCTTCTAGTGTCACACGCTTGTTTTGCTTGTCCTGTTTAGGATCAACTATAATATTGGACGAAAAACATTGCGGCACAGCTGTATAACGACCACAAGAACAACAAAAAGAAACTTGATTAAATACCTCTAGATTTCCAGTTGGTACTTGCAAAATATTGAAAGTTTGTATGCATGGACCAGCCATTACTAGGAAAAAATGGTAGTATCACAAAATATCAACCAAATCGAAACTATCATGAAATCATCCATATTAATCCATATTGATCATCCATCACGTATCTGCATTATCACATATCATGTAGTACGTGTATATATATATATTATTATTATTGTTATTATTATTATTAAATATGTCACACATATATGATATGATAATAATGATATGATATGATATTATATTATATTGTATTATATTATGTATTATTTGTATACATATATATTATATCTCATGTATCATGGTCTCCTCCGGGTCCTTTCCCGGGTCCTTCTCTTTCATCTCGTTGACGAAGCGCCGGCAGCTGAGTGACGGCCGCCGCTGGGTGGCCTGCAGCTGCAGCATCAAACGCCTTAGCAGCCGGAAGATGGAGGGAAAATCCACCATGTGGCAACGAAACGCAATGAAATGCAATAAACAGCAGTAAACCTACCCATTCAATGGGCAATAAAAACCGAGATATGGCAAGAAGCAAGTCATACTCACCGTCTGCACACATCTGCAGGTATGTCAGCACCAGGTCCTGCCAGCACATTGAAACATTTCATTGCAAACCATGAAATAATCTCAGCCATCACTTTGTTGAACTTCAGTCCTGCCAATGAGCTTCCCACTTCTTCAGGACCCCTTGGTGCGCGAGCTCTTCAGGATCTGGATAGCCAGGTAAGTCCACCAGAACGAAGCGGTTGTTGATGCAGTAGAAGTCAATGCCTCCAACCGATGATGAGATGAGCATTGGCAAATTGGTGCAAATTGCTAGATATGACATGAAATTACATGATATTACTACTATGTTACATTACATGATATTACTAGTCTAAGTGTGTTGGTCCATGTGTTACCACTGAGGTCCAGGAAGCTCAGATGGCAACACAACCAGTACCCGATTCAGAGCCCAAGGCAGTTCCCTCTAGATACCTATGCTGTCATGCAGTTCACAATTCCTCATAATGTATTCAAACTTTAGAATCTGCATGATTCTGCAGCATCCTGCAGTTTTTGGAGGAAAGAAACATCAAGGGAATGAAGGGGGAAAGATACAAACAGAATCAGAGCAGTCGGACCAGGGTTGGCATCCGAAGCAGTGCCACTGCCACATGTTGCCACAGCTGTGCAGAGCCGTGCAGTCGAGGGGCTCTTGGTTCGACCTGGTACTGAGGAAGCCTTTGCCGCATAGGTCCAGCGCAAGATGTGGTTGATCCTGCAGTTTCCATTATTTTCCATTGAACGGAAACATCTTGGAACTCCTTGTCTCATTTGATCACAGTTGGCTCTTGCTAATTGAGTTCTTGAGTTTGTCTTCACTTCAATCTTCCTCTTGGATTTGCAATAACCTAAAACACGAGTTCCTCATGCCTTACGGTTCAACCATCCCCCAGATGCAGAACGAGCAACAGAGTCGACTTGCCACCTCAGGCCGAAGCAAACACATGATGGCCGACATGGCTGATGGCAGCAGATGGCAGCCCCAAGGCTGTCACAATTGGTCATGCCATTGACGGCGATGTGCGGAAGTCTCATCCATGCATTTTCCTGGAAGCAAGAACAAAGAACCTCCAAAAAAAAAAACGAAAAACATCGAAAAACAACACAAAAACCAACCGACCAACCATTGTCACCCATTTATACCCACAGCATCCCATATCATCACATATCAACATGGTAGAATAGCAAGGTGACGACCGCCAACGACACCTCCCGATGAGCTGGAACCTTTCCCCACCAAAAAGAGCACAAATCAAGTGCCAGGCTTCTGGAAGCATAGCATCTTCCGACAAAGCAGGAACTTTGGGTAAGGTGACAGATGTTGGAGCTTTCCACACCTCAGGTTCTTTTCGATCATTTCGTATCTCGCTTGGTCATTGGTCGAAAGAGGTTGGACGATCGTTCCTGGAAGCTGAGAAAGTGACCCGGTCAACGATGTTGAACTTTCGGCAAATCACCTGGCAGCGAGCTGCAGCAGCAGCCTCAAGTTCCCGGATGTTCCCGGATGTGCCAAGAGATGTACCAAGAGATGATCTCGGTTTGACATGTGACCCATGTGACACATGTAACAATATGTAACACATGTGCCGCCTAAAATTTTTAAATGGTCGAAGACCCTAAGATAACCCACGGATACCCACGGTCTCTTGATCTTCGATGCCCGGCATCTGCCGCACCCAGACCTGCTCCCGAAGCTCGTCAGGGACGTCGGAGACTTTCCCCGGTACCAGTGCTTCTGTGTCATCTTGGCTTCGAGCTGCTTGATTTGGAGCTGGTTGCGCACCAGAATCCTGAATCCATGAAGTATGGAGTACCAGGAACGCTTCGAAATTCAAATATCGCAAAAACACACAACTTCGGCACCGTTCAAACATGATACTTGCGTTTTTTTTGTTCGGGCTGGTGAGTCGAAGGAGGGTGAGACTGCCTCCTTTCAGGGTGCAGGTTTGCATTGGGCCATACTTCCCGTGCTGTCTCATGTCAATGAGTCAAGGCCTTTCTTTGCGCTTGTGGGGACTTGTGGGGACTTGTGGGGACTTGCGGGGACTGGAGTTAGGGTTGAGAGGGGCATGACTTGGACGGAAGGCCTTTAGATGTCGCTTGTGCTGATGTTACAAACATGTTCCAAATGTTATTGGAGGTTATTGGAGCATATTGTGGTATAGGAGAAGCCAGCCTCGACCTTTAGAGATTTTAGAGGCACAGGATGGCACACTCCGATGCACACAGGCTGGCTGGCCAATCAGAAGCCCCGAGACTATCCAAAGGTCCAAAGGAGAGATTGACAAACACATAGAAAAGGACAATCAAGGAGCTGAGATGAGCTGAGCCCATATGAGCCCACGAGGACTGTCTAAATTTGTCTGCTTTGCATTCTGCGACAGCAGTCCTCATCTCTTGGATCCATGTACTCGGCATAGTCGTCATCACTGTACTCCTCACCTTCGTGGTCTTCATAGTCTTCACCATATTGACCATCCCCCTCATAGCCGTAGCCGCCGTAGACATCCTCCGCATCTGACTCTTCGCTGTCCGGGATGCCCTGAGAGCTGCGATACATCTTTCGGTATGCATCCTGGAACGAAGCCTCATCCTCATCATCGACAACCTCGGCGCTGTCATCAGCGTCATCCACATCATGCACGTCGGAGCTCATCGAGCTTAACTCAACGGGTGAAGCCCGAGCCTGTTGCATTTCTCTATTTTCTCGGGCATCTCGGTCAGCTGCTTCAGGGGTCGACCCTGTGCCAAACGTGTTCACCGCATCGGAAGTCTGCGTCCTGGTGTCGATCGTGTCAGCCGTGTCAGCCGTGTCAGCCGTGCTAGCTCCCACTGGTGTGCGAAGTCGTACAGAATTGTCCAGCAAGACGTCCAGGGCATCATCCACAACATTGGCATCCAAAGTTCGCCCATCTTTCATCTTTTTCCCCTCTCGGGCCGCTCGTCGCAAGCGCGCTGCTAGCTGCAACGCATGTTGCGTGCTCGGAGCTTGTTTCAACCTCACTATTGAGATAGGTGGGGCGTGTGAATCAGGTTGTTTTGAGTGAGCTAGACCTCAAGACTCTAGTAAAACTCAAGAGAAACATGGGCCATAAATGACCAGAAAACATCCACAATCTATGCGAAGGAACAACTTGTAAACCTCGGTGACGGTAAGGACATTCTGAGACCCAGCTTCCTCCGTATATCGTGCAAATCTTGTGACATTTGATTGCAATGATCGCGATGATCGCGATGATCGCCGGTGCAAAAGGAAAGCCAGGCCAACTCCGCTCGAAAGCGAAAGCTGCGGGGCAACGTTCCAAGACGACGCTGAAGACGCTGAACGCAGTGAAGGCCTTGTAGACAGAGTCATGGGGCACTTAGGTCTAGCAATGCCTAGCAGTTACTCTTGGGTGGGTGATTTGTGAACCTCCAGGGGGCATACAGGTGCAGCACTTTAAAGAAAAACATGGAAAATCATTCCAATGATTTCCAATAACTCTGGACATGCTCTCGAGACTCTTGGCCTTTTGGCATCTTTTGGTGTATCTTGACATTTCGAAATGGGGCCCGTACTGGGGCCCGTGAGGTCCGGTCATGTCCAGTCACACAGCATGCCTGTGAGGTCTGTGAGGTCTACTTGGCTTCGAAGAGAAAGATGGGGTCGACACTCCAGTGGTCCACCATGGCACCAAGCCCGCCATGGCACTCATGAAATCCAAGACAAATCCTAGTAGTGACTAGCCTAGTGTAGCAGGCTTGCTGGCTAGGTCCCGGTTTGAATGATTGCAGATATTGCAGAACACATTGCCAAGCATGTTGCATCGCGATTGTGACACGAACATGCACGAAGCAGCTCTGACATTACTTGAAGCCAGTGTGTTTGGAAAATGTTGAAAGATATCTGAAAATGGTTTTAAAAGCTGCAAAGTTGATTCATCCTGCATTTTTGAGTGTCTGGAAACTCTGGCACTGAAAGGCACAACACATTGATCAACACTGGAAAATGCACGAAAACAACAACCCCCCCTCCTTGTTTACCAAAAACTAGACTGAAGATGAATGAAGGATATGCTGGACATCCATGGACATCCTATGACATCCAGCGAGGCCGTTAACTTAGTTGGCTTGCTTTGTCAGATCTTTGTCAGATTCAGCAGGCATTTTTTCCGCGTTGCTTTGCGTTCCCTGGTGACTTGCCCTTTGCCTTCAGCAAGTCTGAATCCAGCAGCTACTGCACTGGGGAAATTCGTGCGTGCCTCAGCGCCGACAAAATGCAACGCACATCTCTGATACGGAATGATATGGATTGATGATATAAAAATAAATACATAATATAATACACAAATAACATGTATTATAACATATTATAATACAGTATATTATACTACACAACTCAAGAAACTTGCATACATATCATACATATGACTAAAATATCCGACAAGAGTGCCAGGTGCAAGTACTGTGAAGCAACGGACGGTCGGACATGTATCGAACATGCAGGGAGATATTGTGCAAAGTATCAGGTCTACATAATGATATGTGTGTGATCCAGTTTACTTGCTGGCTGATGCCGTCCAAGCAAAACCGGAAGCTTCTATCGCTGCAGCACACCATCACACCGATCAAAAAACAAATGCAAAAGGCGAGCTGCGAGCTTAAAAAGAAGAACCAAAGCTGAAAACACTTGGATGATATCTGCATGATCTTGGGGAAAAATCTGAGCGGTCGCCGGAACGAATTTCGGAATGCAAAGCAAGAAGAAGTCTCACTTCATCACAATATCGTGCAGATATCATCTGGAGGCTTATGGGAATGATGGGAAATGAAAAACAGGGTGTGCACAAAAACCTGAAGCGGATATCATTTGGGATTTTTGGATTTTGCCCGGGCGTCTTTTGAGAACAACCCCATGATATCCTATGTCTCGTCTCCCAGTGACTGCACGCGGAAAGACGTGGCACAGAATGGCTAAATTACGAAATCACGAAATCATCACAATCATAGCGCCTCTATCTCTCGCTCTCAATGTGTCCAACTGCTTTGTCCATCAGATCTGCGATGATCTGCGGCACTCTGCGGCACCTGCGGCATCTGCTCGACCTGGAGCGGCACAGCCGGCGCGGGCACTCTGGGCGCGGGCCTTTGCTCGCGACTCTCGCGACTCTGTTGCGATCGCTCGGCCGCCGTCTCCTGGCGAGCTCTGACCCACACCGAGGTGTGGCACACGTCTCCATGACCACAGCTCTGCGGCTCTGCGCGGCCCGGCCTCCTCCAGCAGTTGGCGCAGAGCGGTGATTTCCAGCAACAGGGAGGCTACCGTGACGTCCTCGCTCACAACCTCGCCACAATGATATAGAATGTGACACTCCGTGATTTCAAATATAAAATGATATGATCAAACTAATCAAACCATTAAAAAGAAACTATTTCTCAAACTCATGCCAATATCGAGCACCAAGGTAAAAATATGTAAAAATGCAAGAGTAGCATGAAGTAGCGACCATGATACAGCACCGGACAGCACCGGAGCTGGAAGATGGTGGAAAATGGTGGGAGTTTCCGGGGGGTTCTATGCATTCTATAGTTTTTGTTCCCCACCTGCCAGGTGAGGGTTGTTAGATTTTATGTCAGTTGCCTCCTCCTGCCTCGTCCTCCTCCTCCTCCTCTCCTCCTCTCCTCTTCGTCCTCCTCGTCCTCCTTGTCATCCTTGTCGTCCTTGTCGCCCTCGTCGTCCTCGTCGTCCTCGTCGTCCTCGTCCAACTGCGACCCGCGATCCACAGTGTTCTCTGCCGGACCTCAACCACGACCATCCACGCCCAGTGTTCCCTGCCGGACCTCAACCACGACCGTCCACGCCCAGTGTTCCCTGCCGGACCTCAACCGCGAGTATCCACGCCAAGTGTTCCCTGCCGGACCTCATGTAGGAAGATATGGGACAAAGAATGTGCAGAAGAAAGTTAGAAAGAATGCCAGAAAGAATGTCAGAAGATATGCCAGAAGATATGCCAGATAGAATGCCAAATAGAATGCCAGATAGAATGCCAGAAGATATGTCAGAATATATGCCAGAAGATATGCCAGATAATATGCCAGAAGATATGCCAGATAGAATGCCAGATAGAATGCCAGAAGATTTGCCAGATAGAATGCCAGAAAATATGCCAGAAGATATGCCAGATAGATATGCCAGAAGATATGCCAGAAGATATGCCAGAAGATATGCCAGAAGATATGCCCGAAGATATGTCAGAATATATGCCAGAAGATATGTCAGATAGAATGCCAGAAGATATGTCAGAATATATGCCAGAAGATATGCCAGATAGAATGCCAGATAATATGCCAGAAGATATGCCAGATAGAATGCCAGAAGATTTGCCAGATAGAATGCCAGAAAATATGCCAGAAGATATGCCAGATAGATATGTCAAAAGATATGCCAGAAGATATGCCAGAAGATATGCCAGAAGATATGTCAGAATATATGCCAGAAGATATGTCAGATAGAATGCCAGAAGATATGCCAGATAGAATGCCAGATTGAATGCCAGAAGATATGTCAGATAGAGTGCCAGAAGATATGCCAGATAGAATGCCAGAAGATTTGCCAGATAGAATGCCAGAATATATGCCAGAAGATATGCCAGATCATATGCCAGAAGATATGCCAGATAGAATGTCAAATAGAATGTCAGAAGATATGTCAGATAGAATGCCAGAAGATTTGCCAGTAAGAAAATGTATAAATGTCATGGTGGGGATCACACGAAGTAAAGTATATTTTTTTCCCCACCTGCCAGGTGAGGGTTGTTAGATTTTATGTCAGTTGCTTCCTCCTCGTCCTCCTCGTCCTCGTCCTCCTCCTCCTCCTCGTCGTCCTCCTCCTCGTCGTCCTCCTCGTCCTCCTCGTCCAACTGCGACCCGCGATCCACAGTGTTCTCTGTCGGACCTCAACCACGACCATCCATGCTCAGTGTTCCCTGCCGGACCTCAACCACGACCATCCACGCTCAGTGTGCCCTGCCGGACCTCAACCACGACCATCCCCGCCCAGTGTTCCCTGCCGGACCTCAACCACGACCATCCACGCCCAGTGTTCCCTGCCGGACCTCAACCGCGAGTATCCCCGCCCAGTGTTCCCTGCCGGACCTCAACCATGACCATCCACGCCCAAGGTGTTCCCTGCCGGACCTCAACCACGACCATCCACGCCCAGTGTTCCCTGCCGGACCTCAACCGCGAGTATCCATGCCAAGTGTTCCCTGCCGGACCTCAACCATGACCATCCACGCCCAGTGTTCCCTGCCGGACCTCAACCACGAGCATCCACGCCCAGTGTTCCCTGCCGGACCTCAACCACGACCATCCACGCCCAGTGTTCCCTGCCGGACCTCAACCGCGAGTATCCCCGCCCAGTGTTCCCTGCGGGACCTCAACCACGACCATCCACGCCCAGTGTTCCCTGCCGGACCTCAACCGCGAGTATCCACGCCAAAAGATATGCCACATAGAGTGCCAGAAGATATGCCAGATAGAATGTTAGAAGATATGCCAGATAGAATGTTAGAAGATATGCCAGATAGAATGCCAGAAGGTATGCCAGATAGAATGCCAGATAGAATGCCAGCTAGAATGCCAGAAGATATGCCAGATAAAGTGCCAGAATGTTTGCCAGATAGAATGCCAGCAGATTTGCCAGATAATATGCCAGAAGATATGCTAGAGAGAATGCCAGATGGAATGCCAGAAGATTTGCCAGATAATATGCCAGAAGATATGCCAGATAGAATGCCAGATGGAATGCCAGAAGATATGCCAGAACATATGCCAGAAGATATGCCGAAGATATGCCAGAACATCTGCCAGAAGATATGCCAGAACATCTGCCAGAAGATATGCCAGGTAGAATGCCAGAAGATATGCCAGATAGAATGCCAGATCGAATGCCAGAAAATATGTCAGATAGAATGCCAGAAGATTTGCCAGTAACAAAATGTATAAATGTCATGGTGGGGATCACACGAAGTAAAGTAATTTTTTTTTTGTATGTGTCACCTCCAATATCTCCAATCTTCAAACAAGCTGCAGCATCACTCTGCCCAGGTGGCGTGGGCAATGCATGGTCAAGCTCAGAGGCGAGGCCTACCAAAAGAGAGCTTCATCAAAAATGCTCGCCACATCATGTCTTATTGCCACACCTTACCATGCAATGCAATGCTTATTTCCACTACTTACTTCTTCCTTGAAACTTTAGGAGCCGATAAACATCACAGAACCTGAATCGGGCCATGCAGTTATTGTGGCGTTGCCCACTGCTACAAGAGCTGGTGACACTTCCACACACTGCAACAAGCAACAAGCTGTCTGGCCAACATCCCGCAACACCCTGGCAATGTCTGCACTCATCCACACTGCAAAGACTTGTTGGATCTTGTTGGGCTGAGTTACTTCGAAACTCTGAAGTGCTCAGCAAATCTTTGCGGAGCTTTTCCAGCAGGGAGAGCCTCCAAATGCGAAGGCATGAGAAATATAGGTAAGGCTGCAAAGCCATGGTAAGGCCGGAACGATGGATGCGATAAAGATTTCCAAATCAGCAAGATCAAATCAACTACCAAAATGACTCCACATCTCAACTGTGATACGTCAGGGAGACAGTGCATCCTTCCTCCTTCAAACGCTGGAGCAGCAGATTTTCTTCAGGTATTGTCCCATATTGTCCCTATGTGCTCAGACTTCGTGCATCGTGTTGGTGCAACGTGTTGGTACAACGTGGTGCAACAGTTAGCACTGCGCTTCGTGGCACAACGGTGCTTCTGTGTTCACGGAGCACGGCATTGCACGGTGCCTCTCAGAATCCGCCCCTGCCATCGCAACTCGTTCGAGGCGCCGCAAATCGGCCACACGTGCCCACAGCCTTGACCTGGAGAAACACATCACGTTCCATCACGTGCTTCAGTGGCATCTTCAGTGGTCCGAGAAAGGGAAACTGGCATAAACTGACATAAACTGGCAATCAATTGGACTTTCACTTGCAATCAGCAACCTGTTTGGTGTCAAATATGTGGTATGGGGCTGGAAACCAAGTCCCTGGGCTCCGAGCACGGCAGCGGCACGCTCCTGGAAGGTGGGGCACATGATGCAAATGAAAGTTATTGATACAAGTATTACCTATACCAACTAATCATGAGGGAAACGCGAAGAACTGATGAATAATATGAATATAGACATTTGAAGAGATTGTGCTACTGAGTAGTTGGTGGACCTTGGAGTACGTGCGACCCGAATGCAAATGCGTGCACTTCGCAGCCCCTAATTACCCACGTCTCTGGCCTTTAGGGAAGCATTTCATTTCTTTTCCCAAAACATCTAAGGCTCTAAGGACTCCTACCTGGCAGGTCCTGTTGAGTCCTATTGAGTACTTCTGCCTATCGCGGGCCCGTATGGGTCGTAACAGTACGCATACTATACGTACTATACACCTTACAATCTCAATCTTTCCATTCTTTCCATTCTTTCCATTCTTTCCATTCTTTCCATGGCTCATCTCCGGCTCCTGGCATTCCTGTTCCAGCTGCTGGAGCTCGGTGAGCTCACTGAGCTCGCTGAGCTCGCAGCCTCCGTCGCCTCCGTGGCCTACTTCGCCATCGCTTCCCACTGGCAGCGCTGCTCCAGGCGCAGCGCTGTGTTGGGCTCTTTGGCCCTCGACCGACAGAGCGACGTCCACGGACATCGAGCTGTAAAACTTTGTAAAACCTTAAAAACATCTTTAAGTGTTGAGATGTGTTGAGTTTGGTTGACCTCCTTTCACCTCGACCTTGATGCAATGATGTGACTCTGCACTCTTTAACACTGGCAATCTGAAGAGATGTCGAAAGTCCACATCAAGCCTTAAGCCTTGATTATCAACCCTCTCTATATTACACACATATATATATATGACTATGTGTGTGTGTGTGTCTCTCTCTCTCTCTGTTTTTGCTCTTTGTCCCCGTGGATTGTTGGTGCAAAGTCCGCCTTACAGCTGGCCACTTCCTGTCTTCCAAAAACAGGAAACACTGACGAAACAAACCTCCCTGTGTCGGTTTTAGACAGTGACGGCTGCTTGGATCAATAGTCCGGACATCTTTACCAAGTGACACCATATGGATCTGACTTCAGCATGTCGGTGTGATGTCGGTATGTCATTTACTGCATCTAATTTACTTGGGAGCTGCTTCACGGCTGCACGCGATGGCAATGCAACTCTGTCCGCACATGCCAAGCAGTTCTGCTCATTCAAAAGGCACTCGCTCTGTCAGGTCAGTGATCAAACACCCGAAGTTGTTGGCATTGAAAACCGACATGATCTTATGTAACGTGATTGTCTGTTTGCAATTTTTCCTTGATTTGCACGGCTCAACTCCACTCTCAGCTTGCATGTCCATGACGTCCATGATGCTCACGACATTGCAGAAGTTCAGCCATTTGAGCCATTCGAGGCCGACACCACGATTGATGTGAATCGATGCAAATCGCCGAGAGGAACTTTCTGGAACTTTGCTCGTTCGCTGAGTCGAAAGACTCGAAGGAGCACAAGGCATCGCGACTTCGATGATCTGAAAACGGTGAACACTGTGAACATTGCCCTGTTGACACCAACTTCCTGTGGTTTTCACAATTGTCCCTTCACGTGAAAGCCACACATGAGAATCACAGTCATCTTCCGAGACAAAGCCATTGGTCGGCATGAGATGCATGATTTTGTCACTGCTCCGGATCCACCGCACCTATCCGCACCTGCCTTTGGAAGCGTCTTGCCGTCTTGCCTCTCTCAGGAAGTTTGATGCATCTCAGATGTCAAGGAACCTTCACTGGAAACAGGGCTTCCCAGCTGTCCAGACAGCTGATTCAGACCTTCCATCATTGGAGGCGCACTGGCAGCACGGAGCATTCCTCAGATATCATTTCAAGTTTTCCCCTGTCTTTCCAACACCTGCATCCACGTAAAGCATGGACTAGAATCGATCGTGTATATCCACCCATCCACCCATCCACCCATCCATCCATCCATCCATCGGTGTGTGTGTGTGTGTCGTGCTATTTTTGTATTAGTGATGACTGTCACTACTGTTGCACTTTCGTACACTTTCTATGGTAGTGGTTCCAGTGCTGGCCAAGGAGCTCTGGCGAGGGGACAGGAAAGGTCTGAAAAGATCTTCTGAAGCATGTCTCCGACCCATGCCACCCATGCCCATGCCATTTCCGCCCTGGGACTGGGCAATACTGGACAATTTTGGCAAACAAACAGGGCCAATACCCAGCTGTGCACAATGCCATCACATGCCACCCACTCATTGAACAGCACATAACATCATTTTTAACCATATTTAACCCATCATTGCCCATCATGCTGAAATCATATGAATGTATTGACATATTGGCAATGGAATTGGGCCAATTCTGGCATAACATGTGGCTTCATGAATTCAGCCAAGTTGCTTCAAGAACGATGCCTCGGCAGATTTGAGTCTGAGACACATCAGACACCGCATCATCTGCATCTTTCTGTCCCGGAAATCTCGAAATTCAAACGTCGGCGCCTCGACCGCCAAAGCACAATGCACTTTTCTGAATCTCTGCGAGCATGAACAGATCGGCCTCGGCGCGTGAACATCTCACAATATCACGGAAAAGGAAAAGATAGGAGAACACACCGCAAAGGAAGTGTGAGCCCGACACGCCTAATTGGCCCAAGGGAAATCAGTTGAGAAGTTTTGAGGACCCATGAGGACCCTCTTTACCAAACGGTTGGAGCGAGTCACTTCTCTACACATGTGGCATCTCTGATCATCTCGGTGCGCACTCTGACATTGATAGACTTTGGTCTGCTTCCTTTTGCACAATTCAAATCCCGTCACTACAACGTTCATCATTTGAGACAGGAGGAGGGTACCCTTGTGCAGGAAATGCGGGTTGGTTGACATCAAAGGTCGTCTCCAGCAAACAAACTCCCAGCTTCAACGGCGTCAAGCCGACAAAATCGAAACCGACAAATATCGAATGATCAAAGAAACATGAAAACAATGAGACAAACTTTACAAACCAAAAGAAATGTATCACCATGTGTCTCCAATGTTTCACAAAGGTGTCTTCAGCACACGGCGGATGAGATGGAGCCACTGTTTCGCTGCAATCGGCCTGGCGTGGCGCGCGCTTTCAGCAATGGCTTTCAAGGCCATGGGGACGGCAAAGGGCGAAACGGAATTCTGAGGAAAAACACTCTGCAAAATAAGCAAAGTGTTCCTAGAGTTTAACAGACAAGGGATGTCCGTAGGTATTAGCAGCATGTGCCTACGGTCACGTGACTGTATGTCTGAAAACATTTCGGTCACGTCTCAGCTTTCGGCACTGGATTCACTGGAATGTTACATGAAACAGTGAGGATGTTATCACATCAAGCACTTCCTCCCGCTCAGCACCTGATGTGATGATGGCCTCGGCTGTGCCAGAACGGTCCAAAAAATGATTAAAAAATGGTAGCTGAATTCTGATGATTTCGTTTCACTTCTGGGGTACTGGGGTCTAGAAGCTAATGTTTTTATGTTGATATTCAAGGTTTGCTCCTTGCAGCTGTCATTTTTCATAGTGTTTCTGGGGAAGATGTTGTGCTTCACTCGGTATAGTTTGATTGGCTGAGCCTGCTCATTGATTCGATGGCGTTGTTGTGATTGTGTGTTTGGGGGGGCTGAGGAGCATGATATATCCTTATGGCCTTAGGAAAATATCATGATGGATTTTTTTTTATTCAAAAACTTATGTCTTATGCTTTCCTGTTTCCTGTTCCATCCCACCAGTGTTCACTAACTTTGATTTGCGTGAAGCAAGCCTGTTTTTATATCCAACGCTACTTGTGGAAAAGTTGATCTCTCTCTGTCTCTCTGTCGTGTGTGACTGTCTGTAGCCATCCCATGAAAAAGTTAATAGTTGGTAATCATTCAATGAATTCTCCATCATGGTTAGGCTGTTAAGCTCCTTGCCAATGGCCTTTTTATCCAGAAGGTCTCCATACACTTTTTTCACAATGTCAAACCTTACGAACAAAGGGATTGTCATAGTCATACGATTACTTACTCCTTCCGCTTCTTTCACCATGTTGAATGTTTATTATGCCCAAAGTCGTGACACAATCTCTTCATCTTCTTTTCCTTTGTTCTCTCACCGGTCCTCATCCTCACTATTGCGTGCAAAGTCAGCGATGACCGATGACCCAAACATTTTCGGGATTCAGATTCACATTGTCTACCCCCAAGCTTTCAGTTGCTGAAGTCTTTTAGCAACCCATTTTCCGTTACTGTATGCAGGCACTCTTTCTGTCCTGATCGGGTGGCAGATATTTCTTTGACTCTGTTCAATCAACTATGTGTATTCCTCTTCGCTATCTTTTTCCATTACTACCCATTGTCATCCCCGATTGTCATATGTTCGTTCATTGCATTTGCATCTCCGTAAGCGTCTTTTTCAGATATGCTTATTTCATCTGGACCCAGTGGGATTGGTTTGTGTGCTCAAGCTGTTGCATTTACCTTCACAAATGGTACAAGGGGGGATTCTGGGAGTATATGTTCAATGTTCGGTTGTTACGTTCTTATGCTCGGGTTCAATGTTTGATGCTTGCTGTTGATTCGTTGATGTTTTTTGTGTGGGGGGTTCTGTGGATTATTCTGTGCTAACTTTCACTTGATGTTTGGTTTAGATGAGGGGGTTCATTGCTTAGGTTGATTGAGTTTTCACGGGTGTTTGTTCAAGGAGTAATTCATAGCGCTGTGTCAACATGTTCCCGAGTTCAGCCATCCTATGAGCCACGCACTTCTCTGCAGTGAGTCTTTCGGGCTTGCTCTGGTTACTGGATGCGGTTATGTGTCCACCTCAAAGTCAAAGGACCGTAATGGTCAATGCGATCATGAGCTTTGAAAGCCCGTTGAAGCTCTGACGGAAACATAGACTTCGAGAAACCAATTCTCTGCGGGAGCTTGGCGTTACCGCATTACTTGGTCACACTTGGTCTGAATGGTGTGACTTGGAGCGCCGCAACGGACACATCCTGACACATCGGTACGACACTCGGTACGACTTGGTGCGCACTGAGTGGACCGCTTTAGAGCCTGGCAGCTCGCCAACCTTCGAAGGCGGCGCTTCATACATGTCATACATGTCATACATGTCATACATGTCATACATGTCATACATGTCATACATGTCATACATGTCATGTCAGCTGGTTCACAGCTGGCACTGGACAGGTCAGAATTCTTCCCAAAAAGTTCCCAAACATTCCGGATGACTATGGTAGAATATGGTAGACTATGGACTATGGACTGATGACTACTACGACGTAGTATGACTCAGTATGACGTTGTAGCTACTTCTGATTGGAGAACTGTTCTGCGCTGGGGGGAAATCGAAGTCGCACACTGCCTCGATCAAATCCTTGTCCACCTCCACATCTTTCACCTCCTCCACGCTTTGAGTTGCCATGCTAGTGACTACCTCGGCAGATTTCGGCAATGAGGCAATCATAAGCAATCATAATATGAGGCTTCACCCACAGCGTCCAACATGGCTCTACCAGGTGGTAACAACATGTAACAACATAAAACATAAAACAAAATGAATCAACTATTGGAAATCAGCTATTTCCAAGACTGTGCCAAATAGTTAATTCTATCATCATACCATCCAAAAGCTGTGAACATCCTGAATCAACTATTGCCAATCCTCAACTTCTCATCACCTGATGCACTACAAAATCTGCGGGACTAAGCGAGCTGCCAGACCAAGCATCACGAAGATGAAACCACAACTGAAGAAGACCTGCTGTCGGGCATTTTGAAGCTTGCTTGACGGGCTTAGCTGGCTTAGCTGGCTTAGCTAGCTTAGCTGCGTAGCGTCGTGAGTTGGGATCATGGACCGAACTTGTCTGAATAAGCGCAGCACATTGAACGCCTGACTGGGAGATCAAATCAGGCTGACCAACTGAGACATAGGCCTGCTGACTTCCATCTAAGCTGCCAAACTCATTGAAGAAGGTGCCGCAAACGACCACCTCCAGAATTCATCGGAATTCATGGTAGGACCATGGTAAGATGCCAGATTTGTGCCATAGGGCCATACCGATCAGATCCGACCAGACTGTCGAAGCAACGAAGATGCACCCCTCTCCAATCTGTAGAGGAAATACAACGAAACACGTAGGCTGAGGCCACAAATCAGCTGGATGCTGGATGTAATGGACATGTAAGGAGGCATTCAAGGGATCTGATCGGGATCGATCGGGGATCGGGTCTGGTGCAAAATGAATGACATTCCGTGACATTTTTCTGATCTTTGTGGCTTTGTGGCTCCCAGGTCAGACCTGCATGAGAGCACCGCTGCCAAGGAACAAAGGCAGGCTTTGAAGCGCCTGTCACCCAGTTCAAAAAAATATCAACCTGAAACCAATCTCAACCACTTTCGCAACCATTTTCAACATCTCTATACCTCTCTCTCTCTCTCCTTTTGTCTACATTGTCTGTGTTTCATCGCATGTGAAGTCCATTGAAACGTCTCAACCAAAAAGGACACGTAGATCTTTTGGTTTGAAGTTTGACTGTCTTACATTGCCATTTTACTCCCGGTGCATTCCCCGGTCAGCATTCCATCCATATCGTACTTGACTAATTCATGACTATCACAAACTCTCTCATGTTCAATCCTTTCCAAGTCCAGCACTTGCCAAAGTCATCCAAAGTCATCCAAAGTCTGCATAAAGTGGCATTCTGGAAAGATGAGTTCCCTCAAATCGTCATGAGAGCGGCCCACTGTCTACGCTAGGACCAAAGCCTTCTTGTAGTATGCAGCCACCACCTGCATGGAACCCCGAATTGAAAAACAAAAAGAACATCCACACAGTGCCCAAGTCTATCCAGCCAATCTCTCGATCCCCGCAAAATCCCAATGTTCCAATGTCCAAAATTCAAAATGTTCCAAGAACATCCAAGAACAGAGCATTGACAGATACTGCCAGAAATTATCAGGAAAGGGCCTGACAGACAAAAACCAATATGTGGAGTGTGATCATGGCCGCCACGCACGCGGAGACAAAGCCTGGTCAAAGGCCGAGGCAGTGCAAAGCACTGCAAGCCACTGCGAAGCACAATCAAAGCAATCAGCATCAATCGCAACCATCACAGCAATCACAGCAATCAAATCAGGCGCGTTCCTTTCCCTGGCAGCAGCTCCTGACGAATGGCATGGTGCAGTTGCAATTTGACTCTTTCAGGCACATTGAACGGACAAAGACCCAAGTCACACAAGTCTTAGAAATGGAGACACAAGAGTGAAGCAAGTTCCGAGCCCTTCTACTCTGAAAACGATCAAGAGGACATCTAGAGCTGCACGTCGACACGTTGCAAACTTGTACGAGGAAAACTGTGTGTCTTGAGGCCAGCCTGTCACGTTAACACTTTGCATAGCTTGTAGCATAGCTTGTAGCATAGCTAAAGATATAGCATAGCTTCTCGCATAGGTGGCCCATGGTGGCCCTTGTGGCATGTTTTTGGCAGGTTTTTGGCACCTCTGCCTCTGATCACCTTTGGTTCGATGCGAGAAGTCGGAGTTCCAGTCCTTTGGCCCCGCCACGACCAAAAGGCGCAGAAGTTGAAGCGTGAACTTCGTCACCTGGCAGCGCATCAAATGGCACACAGCTGGCGACAGAAAATGCCACCCCCGCACACCCGGTCCCTTCAACATCAAATCATGGCAAGATATGGCAAGTCACGAGGAGATCAATGGCTCCCACCACCGCAAAGAGATATGCAAAACTCCACCTCGAAATCAGATCCGATGATTCTGATGTGGCTTCGAGGTGAACTGTCTTGAACATTTTTGAATTTAGAAGTCACCGCCTTTGCTGAAAGCTGGAGGAGGGAAAATAGGATGCAAAATAACAGAGTGATGTTTGGCAAAATGGGCTGACCACGTGAGGAGGAAAAAAAAACATCGTGACATATCAGGACGCGGGCTGCACAGCATGTGTTGGACACTTCGACCCTGAAGTGACATTGAAAAATGCCTACAGGTTCCTCCAATCAGCTAGGAAAAATGCAAAAAAAATATGTAGCAATGTAATGCAATGTAATGCAATGTAGCCAACACCGATCTGCGCCAGGAAGCAACTCCAGAAAGCGAATGCAGCAGGCCCGTACCGCCAAGACAGCCGTCAGCGCAGCCATACAACCCGCGCAGATCAAGAAATGCGGTTGATCATCGAGACTCTCCAGCTGCAGCAAAGTGTACTCCTCACGTGAGATGATGGCGATGTTGGCGATGTCTATTGAGATGACTTGAGATGCAGATAGATGATCGATGATGATAAATGATATTGAGAATTATTGAGATGTCGTATAACATGATGCAGGGAATGCATTGGAGTGGAAAAATATGTCAACAAACGGTATCGTCTGTATCATCTGTCAACATTGGTGACCTCATTCGTGTTGGTGTCCTGCGTTGCATGGCTGGAGAAGGACGTGACCAACAAACCACCCATCACCAGCAGAAAAATGCTCAGCCCGTGCATCCGTGTAAGCCTTTCAGCTGCACGCCATGCACCACCAGATACCACCGGCATAAGTGCTGAAGTTCGTTTATGCTGATGGGCTGCTGTGACTGTGATTTTGAATGATTTTGATATGTTTTCAACTCAAGAACCATTTTTGCGTTTTGGGCCTGACACAACATGTGGTACAATCTGGTACAGTCTGGTACTATCTGTTGAGCCGCCTTTCTCGAAGCAACAGCGGTGCCAGCAATGCATTGCCTCAAATGCAAAGTCGCACAGAAAAATGTCGGAACAAAGCTTTCAAAGTAAACACCTGCAAGTTGAAAACTCAAGTCTGGTTTAAAGATGGTTTAAGCATGCTTAACCGTTGGTTTAACATTGTTTAACCTCCCAGTGAACTTTCAAGTTCACCAAGCTATATCGATGTTCCAGTGGCTGAGCAGCGACCCACCGAAGGTCACAGAGGCCGCCAGCGATGCTGGAGCCCACAGAATCGCCACCTGGACCCGCTGGACCGAAGCCAAATGTGGCGAAATGTGGCGAAATGTGGCGAAATTAACAAATGACATAGAAATCACATAGAAATGACATAAAAATATGATATTATGATAATAATATTATGTTTTAGTGAAATGTCATTACTGAGTCATTCACATTATGATATTCATTGTGTAGAAGGCATGGGTGTATATTAGAAAAAGATAATAATAGTGCAGATGGCAACATCTGTGTTCCCGCATCTTGAACTTCATCAAATGTTCAACGATTGCCTAGGAGCCGAGCCGAGCAAACACATCTTTGACACAACTCGAACGACACGGACGACACAAACCGACACAGATTACACGGAGCGGCATCGAAGCCACGACGAAAGTCCATAGTAAGGAACATAAGTAAGTCCATAGTAAGCCACGAGAGTCCGGAGTCTACGATGGTCTAAGTTCCTCGCCTGACCCAAGGCCTGGCCCAGCAGCCAAAAGCTCCAGCCCAAGCACTGCAAGAGCAACGCCTTGCGCGAGGCCACGTCCTGGCAACAACGACGCAACGAACGCAGTTGCAACCCTTGGAACCTCCTTGGAATCTCGTTGAACCTGCTGAAAGTATCTCAAACTATCTTAAACCATCTTAAACCTGTGAAATCCAACATGATTCTGAGAAGAATCTTAACTTGATCAAAAACACGCTTTAAAATGGTTTAAAATGTTCTAAATTGATCAAATCGTTTGTTCCACGACTCTTAGAGCTCTTTGGAGCCTGAGAATCTGAGAACATCTGAGAACTGTGGAACTGTCACCGCCGTCACCGCCGTCACCTGCCTCCGTCAGGGACCACATGCGCAACTGCACTCCCAGCCTCGGGCGCAGCCATGCGCAGCCATGCTCAGCCCAACAAAATCCAACAAAATCCAACAAAACATACAAAGCTCGGCATAGCTCGGTATAGAAAGTTGACCAAATATGTCAAGGCTCAGAAAGCCAAAGGCATCCAAAGGCTCTTACTTGACACTCATACAGACTCTGGATTAACTGTCGATTTACTAAATGTGATTAGGTGTTACTTATTAAACATGATAACAGTAACAGCAACTTCTTATGAACGCTATCCCTTTATCAGCAGGTTTGGCAACCCATGGTTCAAACATGTTATACAAAACATGCCAAGCAACGTGCCACTGAAGGATCCCAGCAACGAGGCAGCCACACCACCTGACAGTGACATGTGACCCAAAGGAGGCGTCAAAATCCTCAAAGACATATACAGAAATATATCCCAAATACATCCCAAATACATCCCAACATATCCCAACTCTCCCATACTCAAGCAGCACCTTGAAAGCCGTTCTTTAGATCCAAAAGGTCTAGGTCAGGGCCCGAGAGGAGTCTCCAACAGAACTTGCACTTTGAGTTCAATGTGCCCAAAACATCCCAAAACTGCCAAAAAACGGCTATAATAGGTAGATAGATAGATAGATAGATAGATCGATAGATCGATAGATCGATAGATCGATAGATCGATAGATCGATAGATCGATAGATCGATAGAGCGATAGAGCGATAGAGCGATAGAGCGATAGAGATAGATAGATCGATAGATCGATAGATCGATAGATAGATAGATGGATAGATGGATAGATGGATAGATGGATGGATGGATGGATGGATGGATGGATGGATAGATTGATATGTATAAACATTTTTTTTAAAAAAACATATTATAAACAAACAACACTATGAATCGCATTAATGTTGCAGCTAAGCAGGTCACCAGGGCCTTGCCAGCCCATGGTTTGCACCTCGCGGGTAGTGCAGCACATTCCCCGCGGAAGCAATCAAAGACTCTCCAAAGTTGTCCAAAATGTCAAAAAGTGTCAAACAATTCAAAAAGACAACAAAAATCAAGAAAATGTCGTCCAATATTTGTCAAAATCTGTACCAATCTCATTGTATGTCGTCTTGTGATATCTTGTGTCTACAACTCTGGACGACTCCAAAGCCTTCAGGCCACGCAAGCCACGCAAGCCACGACCACTTCAGTCCACTATGATCTGAAGGCCATGGCTCAAGGCTGGACTCAAGGCTGGCTAAATCAAACGTTGGTCAGGTGGAAGCATTTCAGCCAGGCGATAGTAAGGCTGTAGGGGAGTGAACACGACTGAGCCCCATCAAATTCACAATGCGTGGGTGACCCACAACGAATAAACCTAATAGAACTAGCCATGTCGAATTAGTCTCGCAATGTCCCGCACCTTTTTTTCAGTGGACTGGCGTACATGACGTCCTGGTTGAGGGAAAAAAGTCTTCAGCAAGCGTCGAAAAGCAACGCCCTTCCAGGGCAGATTTCAGAAAATGATCAAAGAGCATAAAAACTGGTTTTCCTGGCAGAGGACAGAACTTGCTGAGCCAGATTTCGTAATTACATCAGATGATTCATCATGATTCATGGTGATTCATCATAAAATCTAAGTAAAACGTCGGTTGGATCTCTGATCTATGAAAAGGCCCGGACGCCAGGAAAGTGGCTGCCAAATGGACAGAACAAAATTAGGTGCTCCGACCGGGAGCCGACTTACAAATATAACATATGACTCATATATGCATCAAGTAAAATTAATTAAAGTTAATTAGAATGGATTGGAATTCCAAGGTTTACACTTCTATATCTTCTATCATATGATTTTCTCTGTTGCAAGGCGCAGAACTTACCTGGAAACCAGTTCTTTTCCGCCATTCGCCAGAATGCAGTCACCTTCAACCTCTTTGGATTGCATCTCGGCGAGCAACTTGCAAAATCTTGCACCTAGGGCATGGGAATGTGACCTCGGCTCAAACATCTGGACATGGAAGCCATGGAAGCCATGGAAGACCTAAGCTTGAGACTATCTTAAGACATCTAAAGACCTACAGATGACTACAGTAGCCTGCCCTGGCTTGGTTTCCAGTGTGTAATCCCGTGTCTTTCGTCTAGGAATTACCCAAAGATTCGTTTCGGACTAAAATGACTAAAACCTGTAAGACTTTGGAACAGAAACATTGAAAGATCTCTGGAAATCTCTGGAACAGAAACAGGCTGTAACAGGCTCGAATAGGTGCAGCTTTGGGGCGCATGGACTTGACCCTGTGCTTGTCCCAAATGACGATTTCGTTTCCATCACCAGGGTTGAAGACAATGGAGTCGTACCCCTGACACACCGGCCGGCACCACATGGCACCACATTACCACCACAGCTTCGCAACCCAGAGACACCATGTAAATATGTAAGATAATTGTAAGAACACAACCGTGTGGACAAATGTGAACAACCAACGACTCTGGACATCTCTAGACCAAGCTTTCAAAGGGCTGGACGTGCTGTGCATAGGCCGGGTCGCTCAGCGGAAATGCTGAACCAAAGTAAATGAATCGGAGGTAAGCATGCAAAAGCGATCAAAAACTTGTCTAGGAGCCACATTGAACACGTGGCTTTCAGAGTTTAGAATGTGCAAACCATCAAATTTCAAACACCTTGGGACTCACATTTGAAGAGGAAGTTTGACATGGCCTCTGATATGGGCCTAAGAATGATGAAGTGATATGAAGTGGAAATCGAAATGATCAGTCCGGAACAGTCCGGATCTGGAAGGCATGAGCTTTCAGAAGATTTTGTATAGCAACATATAGCAACGGCATGCAGCAGCTATTTGTGTAGCCTCATGTCGCAAGGTGTTTCCATAGTAGTGCCGAGACAAACAACCAACGTGGCCCTGAAGACCAGGATGCGTCTCGATGCATTTGGTGCTGGTGTAACCTGGGCAACAACGAGGGCGAAGAAAAATGAAGAAACATAAAGAAACAACTAGATGTAACTAGATGTACCTAGTCGATTATTGAGTCTATTGTTGAATCTATTGAAAGTCTGTTGAAGTCTCTTGCGTCGATTGGTTGAGTCCCACAGAGTCCAGAGTCCACTTCTTAGTGTTCAACGTCAAGGTCTTGAGATGTCTTGAGATGTTTTCAAATTCTTTCATGGTTTCTTCAAGTTTCTTCTGTATCCTCGAAATGTTTGATCCTGTCCACGATATTGGAGTCTGGGGCCATGGCAGTTCCAGGGCATTTTCTTCACGTGCCCTACATCCACCATGGCTTCAATCAGATAGCCCTGGTGAGAGTCCTGGCCAACCTCAGACCATGAGATACCTGCGGTCCACCATGAGGCTGAGATCTTTTTCTGATGGATCCCGTGGACCGCAAGCTTTCCGGACTCGACTCTCACTGCATCCGGCTCCATGAAAAATGTCGGTGGGAAAAAAAAAAAACGAATTGCGCCATCTGCGCCATGTGTTTTTCCAAGAGACGGCCTTCCACTTTGTCTCCTGTGACAACCAGATTGTTGATATTGCGTAGCTCACGGGAAGAAAATACAGCCGCCAATGGGAAAGATTGACCGCGCATGACCGCAGCAGTCACAAACATGAACAAATGCAAGAGGCTGGAAATGGAAATGCTCAAAAAAGACTGCTGAAATTTAAAATGAACATCAAAGTTGCCCCAGTTGGCCAATGTTTTCCCGCAGGTTTCGACTTACTCTTGTTTGGTGCAGGTTTGACGCATTGTCTGTTCAGTCCTGCGCGGTGTTTCCAAAGTAGATGGCCCCTCCACACCAGCCGGCATGGCCTGAGTCGGAATGAGAGGCCCGAATGAGGACGTGCCCCATGTGGTCACATATGGCAATATATGGGTCATATGACGTTCCCTAATTCCCTGAAAACAACTCCATGGGTGGTCCATGGCGAGCGAAGAGGTCGGAGACACGTCTGTCACGTGGAAAGCTGACACGATGAAGCGTGATGGTTTCAAAAGACGGAGTTTTCAGCTCACCAAGAGAGGGACTTGACAGGACTTGACATTTGAAATGTTTAGATACCTAGCTAGATATCTTTTACATCTTTTACATATTTTACATTACCTCGTAACGGGCATAATTTTTAACATTTTTATATTGAATGTAAAGTTAAATATAAAGTTACTTTCAATTACCATTTACCATGAAAATTACCATTAAAATTAGCATTAAATGGTAAATTGCCATTTACAAAAACATCATTGTTTTTTTACAGATGTTGACTTCGTCGAAAAGCGCCTGCTTTGAAGCCGTTCTGCAGGATGCGTGGCCCGATGGCTGGGCTCGTGACCTTGGAGCGCAAAGGTGTCTTTTGGCTCTCCAGTTACACGGTAAGATCTCTGGAAGAGAACCGTGAAATGATGGAGATTGAAACGAGGGGAGTAAAATGATGCAAACACATGATGCAAACATTGGGAGATTGGAAGCAAATTATATAAAAATTGGGAATTCTCCAAACCTGGCCCGTTTCGCCAAGCATCTCAAGCATCTTGCTTTCTCTTTCTTTCTGTTTCTGTTTCTGTTTCTCGTGGTATCCATTTTGCACCTCTCTGTCACCGAGGCACGTGGTACAGCCTCCACAGGCCGCGGCTCTGGTTCAGCTCCGATGCCAGCTGTGCTGTCTCGTTCTTGGCGCCAAAAAAAAAACTACAAGAAGATTCAAAATAGCAATCCATAGCCAATCTATAGCCAATCTATAGCAGCTAAGGCCGAGTCAAGAAGATTCAAGAAGATTCAAGAAGGTGCAAGAAGACAAATTTGAAGTCAAAATTATATTATCAATTCATAGGTATTTGAGTTTGAATCATGTGAGCCGAGTCAGGGGATGTTGCGGTCGCGTGTTAAAAGCAAGAAGTCAATTCCAACCCCTCTTTTGGCGGGGCAAAGGGGCAAAGGGGCAAAGTGGCAAAGTGGCAAAGTGGCAAAGTGATGGAGAGCAAGAAGGTATCAAATGCACATCTCAAACAAGTGAATTCAAGACATGAGGAATGCTCTGCAAACAGGGGCCTGCAGCATGGCAAACCGCAAACCAATCGGATCTCATGTTGCGGATTGATGCGGATCGCATAGTTATCATAGTTTTGCATATCTCTATCAAACTATGTGCTGCATAGCTTTGCTCAATCATTTTCGATCGGCAAGTGCTGCAAAGCTTCCGAGAATGATGCAAGGTCTTCGCCTCGTGCAAATCCCACTCACTCTGCTTGGTGTTGCTTAATCAAGAAGATACCCATAGTGCCATGCTTACCATGTTGCAAGTCTTATGTTCTGAGTAGGTAGCATGCGATCACCCAGTGTCTACAGGGCATGAAAGGCCCATCAGGCCCTACAGTCGCTGCACAGTTTTCTGCCTGCTGCAGCTCGAAGTTGAAGTGCATTCAGCGCACAGCTGGAAGCATCGTTGCATTCATCGTCCAACTCAACCTGCTCGACCTGACGCAACAAGCACGCAACAAACACAAGTTTCCTGGAAGTTTCATGTCAGCACCATCCATGGAACATCATGGAACCATCCAACGATCCAACGATGCAAAAGCAAATTTGATCTAAGTCTAAGTGATCTGAATCATCCTCCGAGCAACCTTAATGTGTTCATAATCTGTCATAATCTGTCATATCTTCTCATCATCTCTCTCCTTTCTCCACATGCACGTCGCAATACGTCGCAGACACCATGACACATTTCAGCTGAGGCCTTACCTGAGCTAGTGCAGTCAAGGCCGGCAGTGCCAATCCGAGAGAAAGCCTCAGGGCAGAGTCGGCAGAGGGTGCAAAGCACAGAAAACTCAGAGGGTGCAAAAACAGATCTAAGTCATTCTAAGTCAGTCAGCACAGTCAGCCCTTTAATACACTTTGATCTTTTCTAAACCAAAATCAGATTCCCGAAATTACCGAAACTCCACAAATCCCGAACTGATTTTCACCCAAGTCTCGCTTTCAGCATCGCTCTGAGTGTAGTTTTTCTCTCAGAACAAAATGGCTGAATCAAGGTGAGTGTGACGCCTTGCATCACATGTTCATGGTTTCCATTGATACACTACACTATGCCTCATGCTCACCTGCATCGTGACATTCTTATTCTGGCCATGCAGATGCAGACGCTGCATGATGCTGCTAAATCCTATATGCATCTATATGATATATGCATTCTCTGGCAGCATCGCACTTCAAGCTCAAGGGCTCAAGCCGCGAGAAAGACTTTTCCAGGAAAACTCTGTCCACCGCGGAGTTAAGGTTCAACGGTGAGTGAAGCCATACGAAGCTGGCCGCCGAGAAAACACATGAACTCAATGGACGCTGTTATATATTTGCAGTCTAGTCTACATAGTCTACATATGTCTACATATTCTACATATTCTACATTTTCTACATTTTCTACATTTTCTACATTTTCATACATGTCAACATCTAGTCAATTGGAGTCACCTGTCATTTTGGACCTGCTTCGTTGCATCGAATGAGCTGAGCTCTGGAAGAGTCTGGTGAGACGCATTGAGACGCTCTTGGCTCACTTGTACTAGCCACTACTAAGTCACTACTAGCCAGCACAAACCTCAATGTGAAATAATGTGAATACGTTTATTATCTTTATTTCAGTAGCCTCCCTAGGCTCCAACGGAATTCGATATTCGAAGCTTCACCACCACATCTCCTTTCCTTTTCGGCCTAGGTCCCGCCGCTGGGCGTACCGTCTGAAGGACGGGGCATCGAGGCATATTAGAGACCGGATGAGACCGGTAATGATACGAGAGCATGTGAAATGATGTGAAATGATGTGAAATGATGTGAAATGATGTGAAATGAGACCACAGTCGAGCAATGCCATCATTATCATCAAGAGTTTCTGTAGATTTGTCGTGAGCATTCGTCTTGCAAAATCTGAAACTACTTCCTGATCTTCCTGCAAATGCAAAAATTGCTGCAAAAACTGGTCATCGTGCCCAACCGGATGGTATTGGCAACCACGCTCACCTCTCTCAAAGTGTCCACAAGGCCCGAGACCAAAGCAGTTTTCTCACTTCGTGCTTTTGGAGAATTGGGGCCCCTGGGGACATAGCTTCCGTGGGACTTTCCTTTCTGATACCCATAGTCGCCATAGTCAGAGTAATCCTCAGCAAAAAGTCGGAATATGTCGGAATGCAAAACCTCCAGTAGTTCGGAACAGAAACGAGCGGAAGCATCCGGTCTTGCAGCCCCGTATGGAAATGGGGCCATCGGAAACCGTTCTGAAATATGAGGAACATTGAGGAATTGTATGGAATTGTGCAATTGCGTCAAGTGAAACGAGTTCAGCTCTCAGTGTCTCCGTGAGTGTCTCAGGCTCTGAGCTCAAAACATACGGGGAACCTCAGCTTCTGCTTCCCCCAACATCCCCAATGTCCATGGCCAAGTCAGCTCTGATTTTTTGATAAGTCGGGATCTGGTGATGTTTCGTGTTCCAGAGTCATCTCGGACATCTGGTCAACTAATACATGTCGAGATGCCATAGTCCCAATAGTTGTCCATATAGGCCCACGGTTCCTGAGTTGCCAGATACGTCATCTGGATGTATGATAAGCGTGGATTCCATAGCCTATCCGATATCCAGAGGATATCTAAGATGGACGATATTGATATCATATGATATTATGATATCATGATATGAATCATGATTTATATACATACAGGTTACATACATATGTGTTCATCAATTTTCATCCTTATCTCATGATATGATCCTTACCGACACGGCAGCACGGCGGCTTCTGCGGCTTCTGCGCCTGCCAGGGCCATTGCGCCCAACCTTTGTAGCTCGAGCCGTGTGCCTCGCCTCGGAGCGTGCGGATCCGAGTTGCCAGCGCGGATCCAACCTGTGGAGCCTACGATGCCTACGGACCCAAAGATCCCAACGCCGGGACTTCAAAAACGTCACATCTCTGATATATTCTGATGTTTTGCATTATGTTGCATATTTTTGAATGATATGAAATGATATGTTTAATGGCAAAACATTTCGTGTCATGTCCACACTCTTCACGCCTCCTTTGTAGCCATAGCCCTTCTTCCCCTTTGGTGCTGGCCTCGGCACAAATTCAAAATCTGAAGTGAACTGAGTGGACCTGTATGAAATCAAGAGCACAAGAGCAAAGACAACTGAAAAATTGCGGTTGCTTCTCCCATCTCCCACATTCTTGCCAAGGCTCTCAGACCATTCAGCGCTTTCTTTCCCTCTATCTTTGCCGCCTTTGCCTTTTCCTTCGCCATCTTTTCTTTTTCCTTTGCCATCTTTGCTTTTTCCTTTGCCATCTTTGCCATCTTTGCCTTTACCTTTGCCACCGCCTTTTGAGGGTTTCGCCTGCCGCATTGCACAAATCGCACAAACTGCACAAGGCAAAAGTCAAAAATCATCAAAAATGCAAGAGCATCACGAACTCCGGTGAATACATCACTCAGGATAATCTAGACTCAGGAAAATGGCTTCGGGTGCTAGTCTGTCATAGTCTGTCAGGCTGAGTGGCAACTTGCTCTTGACGTTGGTGGTCCGGATTTTCTGCTAAAGTCTTCGCTTCTTCAGCCCATGACCACGTCTCAAAGGGCACCCCATCCACAACACTGCCTTGAATCAACAGAAATTGCGAAACAGAAAGGTAAAAAACACCTCAGCAGGACGTAATTAAAGGGATGTAAAAGGTACTTGAAATCAACATGAACGCCCAATCAAACACGAGTTTGCCAGGAAATTCCACGCCTACGTTGATACTTCTGCCTCCGTCCAGAGTGCGAAACTTCCGAATTTCTCGCAAACGACGCTCCTGGCTCAAGGCAGCAAAACTACCCAAAATACCGAAAATACCCAGACTGCACATCTATCTGTCACAGCATGGTTACATTTGCGTGTTCTTGAAACGTCTGCCACTACCCAATTCGATACTGTCACGTTTGATGTGCTACACATCGGTCACTCTGGTTTCAACATTAAAATGGATAAGTTGCCAAATGCATCGTGTGCCTTCCGAATCTCTGCAATCGTGTCCACAGTACATCCTGGCACCCACAAATCTAAGCAGCGAATCCTAAAGAGATTGGAAAACATACTTCGGGTGAAGGAAGGACACCACTTGCGATGGACGGTTGGACCAGCAAGCTCCCCAAACCAAGGCTTGTCTAGAAAGCAATGATGCCAAATAAACCTGAATAAATAAATAAATTCATATTAATGCAGCCAAGGCGTCTTTCTGGGAGAAGGTTAACGGCAATCCGTTGCAAGCAATAGAGTCGTCGATTGTCCAAGGTAAACCAACTCTCCTGATGGCCATGGCACAAAGTCTGACCACTCTAACCAGTCTGATCGCAGTGCTAAACGATTTCATAGTAACCTCAGAGGGGCCATATATATATATTTATTTATTTATTTGTTTATTTATTTATATAAATATAGTTATTTATTTAATTTTATTTACTGAAATTTATATATTTATTTAAATGTATTTATTTTCATTTATTTATTTAAAATTAATTATTTATTTATTTAAATATATTTATTTAAATTTATTTATTTAAATTTATTTATGTATTTATTTAATTTATTTATTATATATTTTTATATTATATACTAAATATTTTATATTATATATCATATTTTATATATTATATATTATATATAATATATAATATATTATATATTACATATTTTATATTTTATATATTTATATTATATATTTTATATTTTATATATTTATAATATATATTTATGTGTTGCATTGGCTCAGCAGTTAATAGCGCCACACCTTTTTTACTTGTGGGGCGCACCTGGAACTGTTGTTGGCCTGGGAATCAGGCCTACTTGGATTGACAGCTATGGCTGTGCCGGCAAGGGATGGCTCTCTGAAGACGGCTGAGCTTTGGTTGTGGGTTAAAACAGGCTATTTTTGCGTAAGTAAGAACCCACAAAAAGTTCTTGAACAACGAGCAGTGGAAGGTGGGGTGGTGGTGGTGACCCTAAAAGAGGCTGCGTGCCCAATCAAACATGAGAGAGGCATGTGTTGCATTGGCTCAGCAGCTAATAGCGCCACACCTTTTTTACTTGTGGGGCGCACCTGGAACTGTTGTTGGCCTGGGAATCAGGCCTACTTGGATTGACAGCTATGGCTGTGCCGGCAAAGGGATGGCTCTCTGAAGACGGCTGAGCTTTGGTTGTGGGTTAAAACAGGCTATTTTTGCGTAAGTAAGAACCCACAAAAAGTTTTTGAACAACGAGCAGTCCCAAACATCCCAAACTTCCTAAGGCGGCTGAGTTCCTCTTAAGTGTAAAGAGCGGACGGGTCGAGATGCTCTCTGTGCATCTGCGTCAGACTGCCTATATGCACCTGGTAGTCTATCAGGTGGTCTTATCATATAATTCCATCGTTGTCCGAATAGGGCACCGATCATGGCAAACAAACAGTGAAGCAGCAAGGTAGTCAAAAAACCTGGCTGCCAAAATGGATGAGAACTACTGTTGCTTCCTTGCGTGCTCTCATCAGGCATCATGTACGGTGGCGCGACTAACGAGGACTCAAAACTTGTGACTGCCTCATCAAGGATTGTATCCACCAACATGATGACAAGGCTGACAGAACGTCTGATGATGAGTCGCACGCTAGTAGCCAAGCTCTTTGCCACAAGGACATGAAACAATGGCCTAGATAATACAACTTCCGAAATGACTACAAGCATCAGTGAGAGCATGATCCTACCCCGCAGCTTTCCAAGGAGCCATTGAAGCAGCATCCGCGGGATGCTTGAAATAAGTTTGCAACAAGCCAAAATGTTTCCCATTCTTCTCTGCTGCGGGGGAGTGAGCGCTTTGATTTCCAAAAGCTTGCTCTGACAACCTACGCTTTGCAAATTGGTTGAATCTAGGGTCAGACCTATAACTACGGGCAGCCTTCTTCAAATCTTCCCATCCAACGTCCAAGAACCTAGCTCCCTTCAAAGGACCACCCGCCACCACTGCCTTCTTGAACTGCCGTTCGATTTCTTCCCCATGCTCTAATGACTGCGACGGCATGTTCGGGTCTTTCGATTTGCAGACTGGGGCATGTACCAAATGCTCCAGGGCCACTTGAGCAGCAAGGAACTTCGGGAGCACGAGGAGAAAACTGAAACGGCACAAGAAGCTCTTCAACTGACGGGCGACAACTGATGGTATTGAAAGTGCTATTTGTTCTGCACGCGCTATCTGCACGTAGTGTTCTAAAGACCTGAGGTGTGCCCAACGTCCTAGAAGTCTGACCCTATTGATTTCCATCCCCTGGTCCACAAGCAAGGTTGCTCCACCAGCACGCAGCGACGCTGGTGACAGTCGCAGCTCTCTGATTTTCATAGCACTGCAGACGGTCTTAAACATGTGTCTAAATTTTGCAGCTGTGCCAGGCCAACGAACTGCATGTTCCTGTGGAGCTCTCATCTTCAGCCAGCAGAGCCAGTTTACAGCGTCTGGGTGTCGTAACTCAGTGAACTGTAGCCGTCCCATTTGTCTGGCGTTCTTTGGCCGCACCAGTCTGATCACAGCAAATGAACATCCGACTGCCAAAGAGTTAGGCAAGGTTGCGTCAGCAGCTCTCAGGGCTAATAACTCTCCAGGCCTCAGCAGCCCGAAAAATCCCACCAGTAGCAAGGCTGAGAAAATCATCCAAGCGTCACAAGATTTTTGGTCGGCCGACTCATGAGCTAACAACCTGGCTTTGCAAACCATCACACATAGCAGAGGCAAAGGTATGGGAGGTCTCAAACCTGATGGTTTCTGTTCTTCCCACGATTTCAAGGAGTTCCAAGTGCCTTACAAAGAGTGACGAAGTCTTGGTCTAATGACCTGCACCCACAGTATGCCATGCTTGGCAACCCTCAAGCTAGATCGCCGATCATCGGCGTGCTTCTCTCGTACAAACTGTTCCAGAATTTCGTCTACAACTCGTGCCTTTCCACGTTGGACCAGATTCCAGTCCAACTCCTTTCTGTCAAAAAACTCTCGCAAAGATCTGCCTCCTTCCAACAGCCGCCTCTGGTAGGCGATACTGTATTTTCCCCAGCGAAGCTTCAAGGCGCTGGCTCCAGTAGGTCCGTCTCCAAGGCGAGACATGCATCCATGCAAATGCGTCGGATGACGCCTAATTATGTCCTCATGCAAGTAACATGCAACAGTGTAAAAAACTATCAACCCAGGTATGATTCTATAGAAAAGCTTTTTCGAAACAGCGAGAATATGTCTGACAGAGTCGTGCTGGATAGTTTCCTGCCAGCGATGACCTCTTTTGCCATTTGTTTCCCCACTTGACTCCTCCCAAAACGGCGACGTGTTCATGATCGTGACTGCAACGGATGCTCAAACCTTCCAAGTGTGGCATGGTGCCCGCAAAAATGGTTGGCTTTTTGGCTGCACTCATGACTCCGTTATTATGTGGCATTTTCAGCCCTAACATACATTGATCAAGGGAGATTATCTTGGACCCCGTGCTGCTTAACAGGTGGCACATTTCTGGCATTTTCCATGCCCAAGAGCTTAGTGGGTTCTCTAGGGTGAAGAATGAGCCGTGTGCATGTAGCAAGTGACAAAGGTGAATTGTTCTCCGCAAGATCTGATTGCCAAGTCTCTCACGCTGCAAGCTGTCATCTCCTTCAGGTCTATGTTTTGTCCTAGTACCCTTGTTCATGTTTTGCAATATGCTGAAGGAACCACATGGAAATCCAAAATGCCACAATTGTTTGGGTTTGGATGCATCCTTACAAAGTCGCTCAAAAACTGCGTCGTTCAAGATATCATGGTGCGGATCAACCCTTCCATTTTGCATGATTTCAACTGGAGTTTGAACTGTAAAATTGTTTCGTTTTCTGAACGTTGAAGTTAAATGTCCCGAGCCCGCAAAAATCCCACGAAAGGACCACCCCTTTGCAGCGGGGTGTTCGACCTTCCCCATCGCACGCTGCGGTTCCCGTATGTTTTTGGGACCGGCGCCAAGTCCGTCAGGTTCAGGACTGATTGGATCCCCAGCGTCGGATTGCTGTTTGCGGACTTCCCTCCAGATATCGCGGTTCGACCGGCCCAAAAATTTCTTTTGAAAGCTCATTAGGGGGCCCTGTTGGTTCAGGGATACGTTTACCCCTTGAAGGATAATCGGCAGGGTTACACTCCGACCTAACCCAAACTAAATGGAGGGTCTTACGTCCCAGCAAAGTCCAACCCAGCGCTCTACGTAAGATACGGTTCAAATTTTTTGAAGATGATCTGCCTTTCGACCAAGCACCTGCTGCGGCCCGGGAATCCACCAGTAGCACACAACGCAAAGGATCAGAGCCTTGGTGAACTAAATCTTGCAGCTCACGTAGGATCATTTTTAGCTCTAAAATGTTGATATGCTGTTTGTGGCCAAAACTGCAGGTCTCAGTTTGGTTCCAGGGCAAATCAGAAATCAAAAGTTCCAGTTCCCTAGGAGCGGGTCTCATTGAGCTGGGTGGCTGAACAGCGCCCTTTTCCCAATCCAAACGCACATGCTCCCCCTTATGTTCAGCAAAGCGATAAAGGGTTTGGGACACTCCTGGGGTTACTATAGTGGCTGCTCTACCACCCATGCTGAGAGATGCATCACTGGCCCCAAGACGGCTCGAAATGGGCCATCTGACGTTGCTGTGGCATAATGGAAGCATCAAGCCGCAAGACAGGAGTTCTTCTCTTACACTAATGGGCATGGGCTTACGATCCCCATCTTCAAGATTTTCAATCCATATGAAAGTGTCCTGCAACAAGCACATCATGCTGCGACGGTGCATGAATGGGTGAACCAGCAGGCCTGTCACGCCTTGGAGCAGCTTTTTTGAAACAACCTTCAACTTGCATACTCTTCCCAGTAAGCTCGAAAGTTGTTTGAGCTTCAGCAGTGGTGCCCCGGCGCGCCCGCTGTGGCTGTCCAGCTCCGTCCCCCACGCCACAAATTTTTCTGCTTTATCAAAGGACTTATTTTGAGAAGTTGGGATTCCATGCTTAGCGTATTGTTCACGGCTACGTTCTATTAAGACTTCATCTCTGTATTTATACCCCTTTTTTCGGTTCTTTTTTGAGGGCAGTATCTGGGTGATTATATGGTCATCTATATAAAGACCCTCCATGGTATGGGCTGCGGGCAGAGGTTCCTTGAACTCGATGCATTCTCCTTCGTTCATGCATGAACAATCTTTTAACACTTCTAGGTGTACCTGTTGGGCCAGATCCACCGCGTTAAGGTCCCCCATGGCAATGACCTTGAAGGCCAACAGGTATTTCTTCCCCTTTTCCCCACCGTAAGTCTCATACCCCTCCCCATCAAAAGGTTTTCCAATGGCATTACGGGGCAACCAATCATTACGGTGCTTAAGGAGATAGAAATAGTTACTGAGGTCGTCACCGCTACCTCGTACGGAATACCCTTTTGGTACTATTAATTGAGTAAGCAGTGATCCGTGCGGCAGTTTGGCCCAGACAAGGCGTCTCTCAAGTTCATTGAACGGTCTGCGATCCAAAATGATTCGGTCGCTCTGAGGTTTGTGGTCCACAGCAAATAAACCCCCCGTTATTATCTCACCTTTGCTATTCCGCATACCCATGGATTCAGGGATGAGTGTAGCAACACCGCTAGACAACAGCCTATGGTTAACTTCTGAAATGTCCTCTGGCGCAACCTTGTAGCACCCCATGGTGGGGTTCGGAGGCTCCACCCCGTGTGGCACCTGGGTAGACATGTTTTCGAAAGCCTCAAGGTGTGAGCCTTTCAGGAACTTGCTCGGGTCAATGATCCCAGCCGCCGCAGGCAAGGACATTCTACTGGGCTTGACACTCTTAGCCACCCTTGAAAGCTTATCTATGTCGGTGTTACCTGAGTATGTTGAATTACGGACAACTTTTACTAATTCACTTAATTTCAATATCCCGCGGCTTAAGGGTTCATCATCACACCTAAGGCAGGTATATCTATGAATTTCATCATGCAAAAAGCCGGCGTATGCTGCATGCAAAGACGTCCAAGTGCTGGACCTTGCCTTTGCTAGGAGGCGCTGCTGGTCTATGCGCTTGTAGGGTGAACCACCATCTAAAAAAGTGAAGTAAGCCCACAGCATTTCACAGTAACTCCAAGCCATGTCACGGCCTCGCCTCCTAGCCCTGCGTCGGGCACTCTTGGACTTGCCAGTGTTATGTGGCAATACCAGCAGAGACGGAAAAATTGAATCCCCCTTTGTCTGTTTCGGGGGTGTCATAGGCCCCAACCTCTCATTTAAACAAGAGGACTTTGCAAGTTTCCAAAACCTTCCGAAAGACCCTAGGCTATCTTCGAACCCCTGAGCAATCGGGAATGCATGCAAACTGCCTTTGGCAGCTGGTTGGTCAGGACGTGCGGGCGGGCTCAGACTTCGGTTGAGCTCTTGTCCTTCTCCTTGTCTTTGAGCTTTCCTTTTCCTTTTCCTTTTGGAGTGGCTTTCTCCAGCTCCTCTGCTTCCCCCTTTCCGGACCCTTTCCTCCTCAGATTCTCCGTGGTCTTCGCCAGCTCGTTCATGGACCGCAGGTACGAAGTCACGTGCTGCAAGGAGTTTGGATCTCCCCCGAACAGCTTTCTCTGGAATGGGTCCTCTGTGTGGGTCAGCAGCCAGGCCACTTGCCACTCGCCATTGTCTAGGCTGGCCTGATGAATGGCCTGCAGCGTGAGAACACACTGCAACGCCCCCTTTTCGTACTCCTCCTTCAAGAGATACTCCAAGATCAGTGCTACCAGGTGGTGGCAACGCTGTAGATTCCTTTGCTTGCCCCAGCTGATCTTCTTCGTGTAATCTATGATCCTGAATGGTTTGTCCTCCGCCCCCAGCTCTTCCTGGATGCCCTGCACAAACTTCTTCACATGACGAAGGGGTCGAGCGAACATTCTTTTGCCCGACCTGCGATAGCTGTAGACGGCTTTTGAGTGGCCTTTTAGAAGTTTCCGATCTTCTCTCGAGCCACTGCTGGAATCGCTGCTGTTTGATGAGCGGCTTGTGCTTCTGCTGTCGCCGGACCTGCGGCGACGGCGATGGCCTACCGCTTTCTCCTGCTTCAGCGCCTGGGCCAGCTGCAGGGCCAGCAAGCTCTGAATTGGGTCTCCAGACTGAACTGCAGCACGGAGAGCTGAAGCTTGCAAAGCTTCGTGCGAACTCTCCTTTTCCTTCTTCTTGTCTCTCTCGATCAGGGCAAACCTCCTTGACTTTTTGTGCCCACGAGGGCTTGCCTCTTTGTGCCTTCCGGTCTTTTCTTCTCTGGTACCCAGCCCTAGCCATTCGCTTTTCAGCTGATCCGCCAGGTTTTCTTCTACTTCGTTTGGACTCGAAGCTGACGTCGAGCTGCTTTGGGAGCTTCTCCTCCTCCGGCTCTGACGCTGACCTTGGATGTTCTGTGGCTCCGAGGCGGTGGCATAGTGCAGCTCCTCCTCTGAATTTGTGATCAGAAGCAATCCAGCTCGCAGAAGTTCTGCAGTGTCGCAACCCAAAGCCTTGAACTCCTCTGTCACACCGCTCAGAAGCTGATGCTGCTGAGCTTCCACCAGACAAAAGTTCCCGTTGCCATGCTCCAGGAAAGTCAACCCTGTAACTTCTACCTCTTCGGGCTGGCAGCTGACTAATACCTGCAGCCAAGGCTTTTGAATGCTAATGATCAGAGCTTCCCTCCATCTTGGAGCTTTGAAGGAATCTCCCAGTTGCAAGAAACCCTTAACCCCGGGCTTCAAGGTCATGAGTGAAGGTCCAGCCGAACACACGGCTGCTGTATTGCGGTGTCAGATCCCACTGGGCCGCTTGAGTGTTGAATCCCTCAGCCGCAGCTTCCCTGGTGTCAGATCAGATCCAAAAAGGCAAGAGGCACAGGGAACACGAAAAGCGAAAGGGGAAGCAGGGAGTGAGGAAAAGAGGAAACACACAAGGAGGCACACACAGAGGAAAAGGAGAGAGCAAGGAAGGGAAAGAAGGGAGGAGGGTACGCCCCTGACACGTCTACGGCCAGAAGCGTGGGAGCCCTCAAACTAAAAAGTGTATGGCAGCGTGGCGGGTGGCTGCAGACCTTTGTGCCCAAAGTAGGATCCAGTTGCAGTTGGTAAAACCCAAGGAACCTCTCTTTCCACACGGCCGGGCAGAGACACTGTGTTACTTTCGGTCTCTGAGTCAGGTTCCCAAAGTTCCAATGTGACCTGGTTTGTTTGCCTCACAGGATCAAGCGACGGTTCTCGGGTGGTATGGCGCCTAGGACAACACGATTGCGCGAGCCACCTGAGAATTGGCCTTGACCCTAAAAGAGGCTGCGTGCCCAATCAAACATGAGAGAGGC